CTTCCGATTGTTTCTGTCGATGGAAATGGCCTTCAGAATGTGAACGCGTTGTGATTGGAGTGAGACATGGAATGGATACTGTATCGTCGAAGATGGGCAAAACTTTGGACGGATTGCAAGTGGCTCCGGTCTTCTCCTTCGTCGTGTGAAGCTGCGGAGAAATGGAAGAGGATATGAACGGAAAGAAAGGAAACTGATACGATATATAGTCGATCTTTTTCGTTTTGTATAAGAAATGGATGGTCTTATTACCCTTAATGCCAAGGCTTTTATAACATCTTTCGCGGCTTTGGATTTCTCGGCTTCTTCCTTAGCAAGTGACCATGTCTTGTCGAGCTGTTCTTGGCATTCTTGGATCTTCCGGTTGCCCAGTTCGCATTGCCTTTGAAGACTGGTAATCTACATAAGCAGAATATGAACTTTAACAGCACAAAAATATGGATTGCGGGTTGCAGAAAAGTTTGATTCTTGATCGGTTTTCTATTACGGGTTCAGCTTTGGAAGAGAATACATACCTCGGCTCTGAGTCTTTCAACTTCTTCTGTCAGCATCTTGTTCAACTCGGGCGAGCTATCCAATTCCCTAGAGATCTTAGTAGAAGAAGGCTGCCTTGACGAAGCCGAAAGATTCCTGGAGGAGCTTGTCGAAGAGAGTGATGTGTTCTCGAAGTGGAACAGGGGAGGAACAGAGACTTGTCCCCATCGAAGCTGTACAGTCGAAGACAGATCAAGTTCCGAAAGTTTTCGCCTTTCCCCACTGTTCTCGGTGCTGTTTCCGCTACTATGGATATCGGATTTCAAGTTGAGTCCTGTCTCTTTCTCTGCCCGAACATCCCCCGAGATCCTTTGTGTAACCAGAAGCGATCTCGGAGTAGAATTCTCCGGTTTTACATTGCCTGAAGGATCTGTGATTCTCCAGAGACGGTCATAGCAAGAATCACAAACCCGAGAAAGCTTGCTTTTGTTCGGTGCCAATGAAGCATTTACCGCTTTCTTGTTACTACAAGCGTTGCAGAACAAGAGGCCGCAGTTGTAGCAATTATGCTTCTTTCGGGTGAATCCGAATGGTAACTTGCAAGCACTACAAGCGGATTGATCGCTCAGAGAGATTTCTTTATGCAGACAGATTGCAGCCGTCAGATTCGACCCGCAAGCTACACTTTCGACCAACCTATCTCTCAAGGGCTCAACAAGAACCGGAGAATTTCTATCCCTCGTGTCGCCTAAACCAAGTTGCCCGTTCGTACCCTTTCCCCACGTATAAACATTTCCAAAAGACGTCAACACGACTACATGATATGAGCCAGATGAAATTTCTTTCACAAACTGTCCTTTCAGATTGCCTTCGACGATGTTTATCGACTTATCATTTGCCCGAGGGCATCCCAGTTGCCCATGAACCGCACTTCCCATCGTGTAAACCGTTCCCGAAACACTAAGCGCCGCCGTAAAAGTCCATCCGCAAGAAACTTGAACGAAATCGTGATCGAGAAGCTCAGAAACACAAGCAGGCACAAGCTTTCTGTTACAGTCAGCATGTCCTAACCGTCCTTTATCACCATCTCCCCACGTGAATAACTTCCCGCAAGTATTACCATTATATTTCCGATAACGATCATCCATTACCATTTCCACTATAGCAGCCGTGTGCCACGGCCCGCAAGAGACTGAAACCACCTGCATTCGACGCAAGGATTCAACCTCTTTCGGCTTCGAAACACTCTCAAGATTCCCATGTCCAAGGACACCGAAAGTCCCGTCCCCGAAAGTGAACAGTTGGCCCGAGCGGGTCACGAGAGCCGTGTGCCACCCGCCACAAGCGACTCTCGAAACACTTAAACTTATATAGATAGATGTGTTTGTATA